TTAACTTGCTGCTCAGGTATGCCATCCCTGTGAAAGTGATAATAGCCCTTTATGCTGCAGCCCCTTTAGAAGATCAGGTGAGTAGAACTCAGCTCTGCCAGGCTCTCCACTGCACAGAAGATACCCCAAAAGAAGTCCATCACTGCCTTATGTTCTTCACTAGCTCTCTGCTGTCAAATTGTTCATCAGCTTTCTCCAGCATTTTGATGTCATTTTGTGCTGTGGTTGGGCTAGAAAACCCAGCTGATAGGCGGGACCACAGGAAAATGTTCTGTGTCTTTAAGTCAATTAGAGTTGGATTTTTTGTCAGTTTGTTTTCCGACAGGTTAATATTGTAGATACTTTCCAGGAGACCAAATCATCCCATTCCTTGAGCTAACAATTTTTCAAAAGCTCAGACAGAGTTGACCCCATTCTGCAAATTAAGGTATGACTCCATGAGTGATTTGGCCAAAGGTCACCCTGACAGCAACCTGTAGTCATGTAGTGAAACCTGTCTGTGTCCCTTAAAGCTCCACAAGAATGTACAGTTCTGAAGTTTTCGGTTAGCTCATGCTATCTCACTTGAGGATTTATTGTCATGCCTCACAGTCAGCAGCAGTGGCTATAATATATGTGATGCTGAATCAGCCACCTGGTTGAGGAGCTGTAAAACTCCTGTTTGTTGTAACTCACTGAAAAGATAACACTAGCAGTACAGTATGCACTTTAATGCATACCAAACACATGAAATCTTCCTGTTCATCTCCTGCTAAAAAAACCTAACCATTGATTTCAAGGGAAGTAGTGTGTCAGCAAAACTAATAGGATTTGGTCTAAATATATTTGGCTCTAGAACTCTACAGAATACAGGACCTCTCTAAAGAAGCAGTCATCTAAACTAAATGGCCATATCCCTGGCAAGGTCAATAGCACTGGTCCTGGTGCTGCCACTCACTTCAGCAAGGGCCCAAATTTTACCTAGAAAAGAAGAAACAAATGGCTTAGAAGGTGGACCCAAGAGAACTAGTATCTGCTTGTGGCTGACTAGCTGCATCACCTGTATCTCTGTGGCAGAGGTATTAAGCTTATCTGCCTTTGCACATGCCTGTTGGGATGCTGATGAGATCTGTAATATAGGAGATTATTGTTAGCATGATAACAACAATATAGCAATGAAGGCGAATACTTTTGCCAAAGAAAAAAGTAGAAGCAGGACATGAGTAACACATGATACAACGCTAATGGTGTATGCCAGACCTGCTATTCTTTCTCTTCAAGCAATGGCTGCCTATGTCCTGCTGGCAAGTCTCTGGAATATGTCCTGTTTTATAGATGAAATAAAAGTAAACCAAACAAGCGAACAAAAAAATACAACCGTT